CGAGGCAGTCGCCAAACGACGCCACACCGATGGACGAGAAGGTCCAGCACGACCCGCACTCGCCCTGGTTCTTGATCGGCTCGTTGCACTTGTGGCTCGACCAGTCGACGTCGCTCGCTTCGCGCTGCGCCGGCGTGAGCTCGCGGGCCACGTGGTCCACGGTGCGCAGCTTGCGCTGGTCCTGGCCGAACGAGCCCATGACGTACTGCGCAAACTCGTCTTCGGTCATGAGCGCGAACGGGTTATCGACCGAGAACTCGGCATCCGGGTAGTCCTTGTTGAGCTGCTCCACGACCTTCTTCGTGGACTTGAAGCGCTCGAGCTCGAGAGCCTCGACTGACGTGCTGGCTTCCTGGCGGCCGTTCGACTCGGGCTTGGGCACAAACCCCGACTCGATGGCCTTCTTGCCGGCTTGGCTCTTCTTCCACTGCTCGAGCTCCTTGATCACGTCGAGGTTTTCTTGGGCAAAGATGTCGCTGGCCGCGGCCACGGCGGCAAGGGCGGCGCTGGCGATCGTAATGCGTTGCATGTTGGTGTGAAGTAGAATGGGAATGTGGAAATGAGCTCAATGGGGTGTCGACACCGCCGGCGTAGACAGGGCTCGAAACACTGCAGGGCCGACGCTGGATCGATGAAAGGTGACTTATCAGACGCGCGCTGAAAACAGGTGTTGTGGAGAGAGCTGAAGAGGGTGAAGAGAACAAGTAAAAGCCGTCGGATTGGAGAGCTGTGTATATTACTTTTCTGAAAGCCAGACTTTTCCATTGAACGAAGGTACAAGCATGAGGTTGTTGTAGATGTACGGTATGTGTAAAGAATGTGCTTCGGCGTCGTATCACACGGTTAGCTTCAATGAGCTCCTTGTTTAAACACCCCTGTCCTAGCACTGGTCCAGCACTGTACGATGAGCTGCACACTACACGTAATAGCGACCGTTTCGAACGCTCGACCTGCGAGACATTGTACTTACTCCTGGCGCAGAGTTGCCTGGTATCCATGATACACATATACTGCATACATACGGTAGTACCGTACTTCTATTGCGCTAAATAGTATTAACTTCATGATATCCTGTATTTGGCCTGTTCAGATCGGGTCCGTGTCGTCTGAAGACGTCTGTTGGAAACAAATTATCCTCCCCGCCACGATAGATTCTCAACGACAGAGGGTCGATTGTCCCCGGTATGCTAACGAACTTTGCACCAAACCGAATTCTGAGCCGCCATTCAAAGTCGCTGCTCACATAACCATCCAGCCGCAGTTGCATTTTCCTTGCGAATAGCACTGGAACACCACATCTATCCTATCTCCGACTCGCATATCATGAATTCACTCCAACTCGATACACAACATCGCCGATCCAGACAAGCTTTTATACTCGCTTCATGTACAACCGATCTCACGGTCCCAAATCGAACACGACATCCAGATAAGATCTTGCAACCCAAGTGACAATAAATTACCACTATGAAAATGCATATGCTTTCAGCGCGCGTCTGATAAGTCACCTTTCATCGATCCAGCG